CACCAATCACAACAAGCCAAGCTAACTACATTTCGCCTCATCTACGACTGAATCTACGGTATTTAATCGCGAACTTCCGGCGATATTTTTGTTGGTGTCAGTTTCGCTTTCTAGATGTAAATGGGAGCTTCCGAGGCTGTGAAAATTTCGCCTCTGTCTAGCGACTCTCAACGATGCACGTTACCTAGACGCGCTTTGCGCCTGGATTTTTATTTACGCTTAGTATGATTGATTGGTTTTTTACTTTTTATTGGGTAGAACTGTTTTAAAAATACACTTGTAATAGGCAAAAATCTAAATACAAAAAGTCGTTCGTTCCTTCATTTTAAGGGTGAGGCGCGGCCTCAGAGGCCTACCCTGACGAACCGCCACTGAGTTGTAGGGCAATAACTCGCTGGCTAAGTCCATTTTCGAATAAAGCAATAACTTGGGCGGCTTTTTGCGTTGTAGTATGCATTAAACTAACACTCTTAAAACCCAATTAAATTATGAAAAAAGAATAATGTGCAAATTCTAATTGCAAAGGCAATAATTTCAATATTTGACAAGTTTGTTGTTCTCGTTGTATCCACCACATAAAGACATTTTATTTCTTTACCGGTTGCTAACGCATAAGAACTATAATCAATCTTGATAAATTTAGACTCATATTTAAGCATATTAAATTGTCTTAAAAACAGCATATATCTTTTTTTAATCGGATGAATAGTTTCTAAAAAATATATAGTTAAAGTCAAAAGTTTACAGTGGGCCCATTTCTATGCACGCAAGTGTATATTAAAGGTTTAATTACTGCCTAACAACAGGAATAATAAACTCATTATTCACGTTGTTAGGCATCAGTGATTGACCGATTTCAATATTCACTGTAATTTGAACCAATCTTGTTTTAAATTGTCAAATTTACAATTTTCTAATTAAGGTAAATTCATACAAAATAACCCTATATTTTTTGACAGAATCTGGTCACTTTAAGATAAAGTATAGTAATACACTCGAGATTATGCGCATTATTCACTCTGATGATTTAAGTTTGTCGACTCGAGATAATAGCATGCATTATATCTCGTATAATAATATACAATTAGGTTTTTAATTTTTTTACTACATTGCAGACCCCCCACACCCAAATTCAGGCCCCATAACTAATTTATTTTTTAGTTATATAATAATTTTAATATTTTTTTAAATACTATAAACTTCAATATGAAGTATACTAGATTGCAAACCCCCCATACTTAAATTCAGGCCCTATAACTAATTTATTTTTCGGGCCCTAGACAAAGTCCATTTTAGTTTTATTAAAAAATTATGTTATTGTATGGCTCCCAAAAGCACATTTCTGTTCTCTCTCAAGCCAAATCTTTTTTCCTCAACACTTGATTAATTTTTGTATGTATGTATGTATGTCAGGTATACGGTATACCTGGCGACATAGAAAACCTCGAGAGAAAAAGCGAACTCTATTAACAATATTCGAAACCTTAGATATATATAGATAAACCCAATATTTTTCAACGATTGATATGGGTTGCTACTCCTATTGCGGATGGTAAATATCATATACTCGTATCTAATACTCCTATATTGCTAGTTAAATACGGGTTAAGGCCTTTAACTTAATGGTGAAGGCGCAACGGTGCAGGCATATACGCATCTCTCTTTTTATGGTACTTGGATTTTTATGCCCGAGAGGCTCTTATACGCACAAACAATTGCAGAACGGATCTTGTACAACAAAAATAGACAGAATCAGTATTTGCTTGCGATTTGTTTCATACACTCGGCAACGCTTCGACTTATTGCGCCAGCATTATACGAGCCCTAACCACATAATGTTCGGACACTTCATAATTTATACAGAAATTTTTTTCGTGAATACTATCTCAAAATTATTAGAAGTTATGAAAAATTCAGCTTATTTTGGCATATACCCCTCGAAGCGATTTTTATTTTTAAAAAGTTTACCTTTTATTTTTAGCTTTTAAAAAAAGGCTAACTTTTTAACTTTTTTTGCATGAGTAAAAAAAGTTATAAATGGGCCCATTAAAAAGAACATAAAATATTATACAAACCCTGAAAATTTGGTAAAAATTGTATAAATAATAAGAAAGTTATAGCGATATATATATCTGCAAAATCTCCCGTTTCCTAAGAAAATTGCAAAAACTCTTTAAAAATAGCATTTTTAAATTACTTATACTTTTTTATAACTTATTTATTTTTTACCAAATTTTCAGGGTTTGTATAATATTTTATGCTCTTTTTAATGGGTCCATTTATAACTTTTTTTACTCATACAAAAAAAAGTTAAAAAGTTAGCCTTTTTTTAAAAGCTAAAAATAAAAGGTAAACTTTTTAAAAATAAAAATCGCTTCGAGGGGTATATGCCAAAATAAGCTGAATTTTTCATAACTTCTAATAATTTTGAGATAGTATTCACGAAAAAAATTTCTGTATAAATTATGAAGTGTCCGAACATTATGTGGTTAGGGCTCGTATGAGTATTAGACTTCGAAGAAAGAACAACAGGAAGAAGCATTTACTAACTGAGTTTGTTTCAAGAATAGTTGGTTGCATATGCGGGATTTGTGTTTGCTGACCTTGTTTTACGCATTGTTACGTCCAAGAAAAATGAGTCATACTTGGGTTGTTGCAAATGGCAACTTCCGTCGCAATTTTTAGTACAGCTTAAAATAATAAGACTCCTTCCTGTTGTTTTCTCTTCTAAGGTATTAGACAAATAACTCAAATCACACATTGAAAAATATTAGGTGGCCTATCTAAGGTTTCGAATATTGCCAATAGATATAACAGCATATTTACTATATTATGGTATAAAAATATGGGGTTGCCTATCTATTTCGAATATTGCCAAAGGAGTTAACAATATTCTGTTAACTCTATTGGCAATATTCAAAACCTTAGATAGGCAACCCAATATTTTAAATGTGTGTTCTGGGTTGCTACCTAAATTTGCGGATAAATATGGTGTTAAGAAATGGTCAGGATCAAGCTCTGTCTTAACATGACCGGTCCCTAAACTCAATACCCAGTGATCCCCCCATGTGGGGGCCCTGCTAGATTGTATTAGGGTCAGAATTTCTCAAACGGGCCACCTGAATTATGTCAAAATTAGTTTTTGATTGTAGATACATTTTTTCCATAGTATTTTACATCACTAACACAAATCCTAAAGGATTTTGTAAAAAAAAAATTTTCAATTGACATATTCATGATATTAAAAGTAAAAGTTTTTAGTAATTAAAAAATAAAAAAAAATCATTATGGCTAAACTAATTATCCGATTCCAACGATTTAACTAGCGTTGGAATCTTGTTTTGACATAGATTCTTTGTTATTTTTTTCAATTGTAAAATTTTCATTTAGGTCGATTTTTTTTTGTTTTTTTTATAACAAATTCGGAAATAATTGGCTTCTGCGCCAGCTATCGACTCGAAAAAAAAAACACATATACTCCAATCATTTTTCGAAATTATGCTGCTGAGAAAAAAAATGGCCCGCAGGTTCCAGACCACCGTAAGACGTCGCGTCACAAGCGCGTACAGCGTACACGGTTCGGAGCGTGAGCTGACACCGCGCGCGGCCACAAAAGGACGAATAACTTTTTGTCAACCTGCGGGCCATTTTTTTTCTCAGCAGCATAATTTCGAGAAATGATTGGAGTATATGTGTTTTTTTTCTAGAGTCGATAGCTGGCGCAGAAGGCAATTATTTCCGAATTTGGTATAAAAAAAACAAAAAAAAATCGACCTAAATGAAAATAGGACAATTGAAAAAAATAACAAAGAATCTATGTCAAAACAAGATTCCAACGCTAGTTATATCGTTGGAATCGGATAATTAGTTCAGCCATAATGATTTTTTTTATTTTTTAATTATTAAAAACTTTGACTTTTAATATCATGAATATATCAATTGAAAAATTTTTTTTTACAAAATCCTTTAGGATTTGTGTTAGTGATGTAAAATACTATCAAAAAAATGTATCTACAAACAAAAACTAATTTTGACCTAATTCAGGTGGCCCGTTTGAGAAATTCTGACCCATTATCATCCAGATCTGAGCTATGTTTAAAGTTTTAAGTAGCTCATCGGAAACTTCCCGACTCGTCGGGTTGTGAAGTTAGTTTAAAATCAATTACAAAGTTTGTACAGATGAACGCTCAAGAATGCGAGTTAATAAAAAACGTATTAAAATATAATAAATACAAGTAAATCAAAATATAATTTAATGGTCCAAGTTAAAAGTATAAATTAAAAAAATAAACATGGATGTAGATATTTACACCCTGTATAATATAAATGTTGTTTTGTGGTAGCATTGCAACCCCCTTTGGAAAAATTATTTTGGGGAATTTTATAGTTTATGTTATTTTATGCAACGTTGTTTAGTTTGTGGTGGTTTTTTATAATTTTACGCTGAATTTTAATTTAAATGTTTTGACTTCATGATGAAAGATGGGGAGCCTTCCGTAAATTAATCAGGGTTTTTAATTTTAAATTTGTAAAAATTGTTTGCTTTCTTAAGCCCATGCATCTCTTCATAAAATGTTTCCAGTTATTTTAATAAAAGTTTTAATTATCTATTATATTTGTACTTACATTATACACTAGGGTGGTTTTTATTTAAAACTATTTAAATATTATAAAATTTTAATTTATATTATTTAAGTTTTTACCTTTTTTCTAAGAACTTCATCTAATTGATTAAAATTTAATTATAATTAGTTTTAAAGCACTTAAATATAAACAGAACACATTTTTTGCATAAATAATTTATTATGATAACAAATACACCTGTTTAAAACAGTTATATATCTGGAGTATAAATAACATTTCCACTAATTAAATAATGCTTATTCATAAATAATGGATTCATAATACTAATAGTATAAAAATATTATTCTATATACATTCTTTAAGAGTATCACATTGTATGTGTTTATCACTTTACATAATAACTAAGTAAGTAATATAATTTATAATGACTTAGAGTAACTCTATAGCAATAAATTTTTGAATATTTTATAGAATTTTTTCAACACTAATATTAATATTAGTCACATTGCTAAAAGAAATTATAGTTATGGTTATAAATTTTTTTCAATAAAAAAAATACTAACTGTACTGTACAAGTGAAAATATCAAAACTAAAATCTTAATTTTTGTATAAAAATTAAAACCAGTACCAAAAAATCTAAAAAATGCTAACATCTTACAAAATTGGATAATTATTTGAAATGTTAAAATTTCAAATTAAAAATCCAAAATTGCATTTCTTTATATTTGGCCTTATCTATAAATAATCACAGAATAAAAAATCAACAACTAAAACTTCTCACATATCCACATCCTCATATGTAATCGTCGGTATATCGTATTTTCGATAATATTTCGGATCTAAGGTGGAACTTGACTGTTCCGACTCGGGCATCAAATCGTTCGAAGTCTGCATTTGTTCGTCTTCCGGTTCCTCCACTTTACACTGACCCATCCACTCCGATTCTGGGTCGGAGAACACGTTACACGCGTCACCTTCCAAAATATCTTCGAGGGAATATTCTGAAACTGAGGAAAAAATTATAATTCTTGAATTCATATACTAATTTAATCAATATATATATTTATATATAATTTTTAATAACATTTAGGCGATCATTTAAAGTATAGTATTTATGTGATGTGGAATGAGAAAATCACCTTAAAAGAAGATATCGGTCGAAACCATGACAACAATTTTACAATTAACAATTAATATATCATTAAACGTTTTGTTTTGTATGCTATCAGTCTATATTTTTTAATTTTACTCACCATCATCCATAGATTCATAATCATGGTTATGTTGACACAAAGGTTCGTTAAATTCGTCTTCAAATTGTAGATCCCTGTTCAGCGTTCTCTCTTCTCTGGTCTGCACCATTGTGGAATCCGAATCGGTGAGGTCAAATATTTCGGTGACTTTGACTTTGTTGTTTTCGTCCAAGTAATAGTAAGCCATAATCGTGTCTTGCTGAGATGTTATTTGTAGAATGTGATCGAATGTGTCATTGTCCAGGTTATCAGTTTTGCTTATTGTTAAGCTGGGTTTGCGTTGAAGAATGTTCTTGATTTTTCTTTGCGGGCTTTTTGTTAAAGGAAGATCACTGCAAAAATTACCCTTGTTATCAAAAATATCGAAAAGGAAATTTTGTACAATAGGTCCTAGATTAAAAATTTTAAAAATCAGTTGGGTATTTTTCCAGTAATCGAATTTCGAAAATAACTATGATTCTTCTAAAAGTATACAGGTTGCAAAGGTTGACTTTTTTCGAAAAAATTGTCTTTTTCCGAGTCCCCCAACCTTAAAATCGTGTTGACTAGTCTGCCGTGCTTAATGAAAACGCCGTAACCAACAATTTTGCGATTTTTGTTTTACGGCATTTTCTACTAGAACAATTCATCCTGCGTCTATCCCCGGTACTCAAAAAACCGTATCTATATATATACGGTTTTTTAAGTACCGGGGATAGACGCAGGATGAATTGTTCTAGTAGAAAATGCCGTAAAACAAAAATCGCAAAATTGTTGGTTACGGCGTTTTCATTAAGCACGGCAGTAGTGTTATTAAAAATAACACAAAACTCTTCATTTTTATGGCTTCCAATGAGGAGCTTTAATAAAACAAAAAACTATAGAACTTAATAACACAGTTCTAAAAACAGTTTAAGAAATTAGAATCACATCCAGTCTTAGGGTTATTGGGGATTTTTGTTTAAATTTAATAGAATCGACAATTCACTCAAAGCTATCCTTAATTTGTTCAACAGTGAATCGTTTTTTAAGTGAAACTTTTTTACGCACGGTAGGGCAAAATCATTTTACATTTAACAAAAGGTTACGGAACGGCTAGCCGCGGCTCGCCACGCCGAACCGTGAAACTACATTTATTATAGAGAGTCACTAAAAACAACCGTACCGTTAAAAAAACGATTTTTTTATTAATTTATTCTTAAAAACGATTTGGAAAATAGATACATTCTTTCGGTAGCGTGTTAACTTGTTATAAAACCATTAACAGAGTATTTTAGTATAAAGATCATACAATTATTATCAAAATTTAAAATTTGCATCTCTAATATGTATTTTGCTCAACTTTCAAACGATTTAAATATTTAAAAAATATGGAACATAACCTCATTTGTAATTCCTGACACATCTTTTATAACATCGTGACGTCACGATTCTCTTCAAGGACATCGAAGCGCTTTGAATCTTGTGGTTTTTAAAACGCTGTAGCGCTCTCAAAAATTGTTATTAAAAACTTATTAATATCGGCCGACAAAACTCTACAACTAGGATTTATAACTCAAGGTTTAGATAAGTTTTGGTTTGAACGACAATACCAAAGCCTATACTACATATATTATTCATTTTACCAATTCACCAGAATAAATATTTTGCGGGTGAAAGTCACGTGGTACGGTATTGGTCAATTAGCTATAAAACTTTTATGCTTCACACATCCACCACAAATCTGGAGTACAATAGATGCAGTGTTACATATTTAGACAGATTACAATACACAAATACATACCTACTTAAGTTATTATAAGTCTATTGTTTCGTGCCTGGAGGGTGAATATAACGAAAGTACGAGTTTAAAATTATTTTCTAACCCCTTTCCTGGTATGCTTGTAAATAAAAAAGTTTCACTTCTATATCTTTTTGTAAGATTACACATTTTTTTTTAAATAAAAATATAACTCTAAGATCAGATATAATGTTGAGCGGTGTTAATTTAATCTTTTTGATAATTTGATAAAGGTATTGTATTTAAGTTTGATAGTTTATCATTAAAAGTTGAGTCATAATAAATAATAAATTTTGAACTTTGTATTACTTTGTTCATTATCATTAAAAGAAGAAAGTGTGTATATACATACAGATAATTACTTTTTTAGGTTCAATAAAAATGACTTAAATAAAAATACTTAATAATTGAGATCAAAGCCAGAAAAAGTATAACCGCTTATTAGTTACTAGATTTCAAAAATACTTTTATTTTCTTATAGTTTTAATTATATTATATAATCAAATGGTTTAAATCATTTTTTATTTTATTACTGGTTTACATATTAAACCTTATAATTAAAGGTTACATTTTTACTATTTTATTGCTGTTTTATTGTATCCCCCAAAGGCTAATCTCGGAAAGATTTATAATTGCATATCTGTAGTTAAAATAGACATGAATTTAAATCCCGGACGAAAAATTTCCAAAGAAGTTTAATTAATGAGATGATTATGTTATAATTACCTATTGTCCATGTTGAGGGTAAAATTGAGGTTCATTTTATTTTCACCTCCTAGTTCACGGCAAGATTCAACATCGTATTTACCTTAAAAAAACATACATTTTATTAGACTAAAATAATTGTTTTAATTCTTTAAACTTACTTCCTCCATATTCCGTAATGGCCAATTGGCAAATAATTTTGGCGCTAATTTGCTGTCTCTTTTTGTTCACTTTGTTCAACACATGTCCCATTTGGTCCATGAAGTATTTACTTATTTCCCATACCCCACTTCCCAACTGAGGCGCAGCTACCATTAATCTAAAAAAAATGACCGCATTTTAATATTTTTCAAAATATAAAAAAACATACAGGGTGTTTCAATAATACATAACAATGTTGTAAAAGCGTAACTATTTTTTTATAATTAAAATAAAACTTGTCATAATATTTTACCTACTTATTAATTAAATTATTTAATATTTTCAAATAAAAATATAATTGGTAATAAATTGCTATAAAAAGCTATAACTTATAACTATAGTTATGTTTACTGTAAAATTTGATAATTAAAACTGTTAGCTTGGAAATAAATTATGTTATGATAGTGATAACTGAATTTGCAAGAAACCATATTTTTTTGTTTTGGTACTTTGAACTTAACGCTTGTGACAATAATTTATGTTTTCTATGCCCATATAAGTTTGTTCTGTCATTATTAATTAATATCGAAAAAAATGGCGTTAATCTAATAATACAAATGGTCGATTTTACGATAAACAACTTTAAAGTAGGTTTAACTATAAAATATTACTTATTACTCCATAGTCTCAAGCGGCTACTAAAAATTAATTTTGTTTGCAAAGTTCCCAATGGAACCATTGTATAACGCTAGAGTAACAGCCGTCACCTCTTTTGTCACGTCAAAGTTCCCGCTGCCACGTAGAAGTTTTAGCTGCCACTTCGCGATTTGTAATGTAATTTAATGGTTAAGGGCTTTTTTCCTTAATAAAGACCTCTATACTGTGGAGAGTATTGAAACGCTCGACTGACGAATACAACTCTATACCGTGACGAGGGTTTAGAAAACTGCATTCAAACGTGGCGTCATCCAATACACTTCTATATTTTTCCGTTTGCTATGTATGCCTATGTAATTTGATTATTTTTTTGTAAAAATGAATTACTTTATTGGATATTCCTAAACCTTAACGATTAGCGGTACTAAAATCTTGTCGATAAAATAATGATAATTATATTTTAATATTGTTATTTTTTAAATATACTGTATTATTATTTTATTTGTTTTTAAAATGCACGAATTTATAAATGAGGCCCCAAGAAGCCAAGGGATACAATTGAAGTGCTTGTTAATTATTTTTTATTTAAAACAATCATATCTTAAAAATTAATAAAGATAGACTTGTGCTGTTTGAACCTAATGGTTTGTCATAAAAATATTTATTTTTAAGGACATTATCTTTATAAATTAACGATTACTGTCTCAAAATAATAATTTATATGTAACTATATAACATAGAGCTTAACTTTTTTGGGTTATATGATAAATTTTATCCCAACCACAATTGAATCAGTGAGATTAAGAACAGTAAAAGCCCAAAAGTTAAAATTTTGACGAAATATTTAAAAAAATCAGGTTTAGTTATATAGTTCTAAATGCACTTTTGTAAGAATATTTTAACTATTTTATAATATATATATATATATATATATTAGGGTGTCCCAAAAAAAAAGAATATATTTTTTTTTCTTGTCTCTTGTAAAAATATGTTAGTTTATCATGCTGTAAGAGCCCTTTCAAAACATCAGCTCGATTAAAAATTTTGTAGGGGTCGCTCAAGATTTTTAAAAAATTTCAAAATCGTTAAAAATTGAATTTTTGTTTTATTTTAATTCTTTTTCTCGTCTCGATTTATTTTTTAGGTTGAAAATAATAAAAATTCTGTAAATTTCAAATCAATATTTTGATTTCTAAAGGTCGCTAAAAGTTCGTTGATATTTATATTCAGAGGTCGCTCGAAAACATTCAAAATACTCTACTTTAAAAGTTAAAAAAATCTTGAGCGACCTTTAGAAATTAAAATATCGATTTGAAATTTTCAGAATCATTATTATTTTTAAATTAAAAAATAATATCGGAACGAGAAAAAAAATTAAAATAAAAAAAAATCCAATTTTTGACGATTTTGGTAATTTTTAAAAATCTTGAGCGACCCCTAAAATTTTTTTAATGGTGCTGATCTTTTGACAGGGCTCTTAAAACATGACAAACCAACATATTTTCACAAGAGACGAGAAGAAAAAAATATTCTTGTTTTTTGGGACACCCTAATATATACACATATGTCCAAAAGTTTGGAATATTGCAATATTTCTTTTTTTATTGAAATTTATATATATTTTCTTTATATAGGTAAATACCATTTTATAACGACTCCGACCAATAATAAATAAACCTCAAAGACAGAGAAAATAGAGTAAATATTAACAACAGTTTTTTTTAAACTACCATAGGCGTAGATATATTATTTGTAAGTATTCCAAACTTTTGGACATGTGTGTATATATATATATATATATATATATATATATATATATATATATATATATTCTGTAAAATTATTTATATCTTCTTACAAAAATGTATTTTGAACTTTAAAATTGATTTTGGAAAATGACTTGTCAAAATTGAAATTTTTGGACTCACCGATTCAATTTCAATAACCAAATATTAAAGAAATATAAAAATAATTTACTTTGACATGCTGTACCATTGTTAAAAGATCAACCTTATAAAATTTAATGTCTTAAAGTATGATTGAAACGCCCTGTATGTTATTTAATGTATTTTTTGTCGCATAATTTAAATGTAATTGCTGTTACTGATAACATTAAGGTTAAATTGACAAAATATCGACACGCGAAATATATCCTAAATAAACAAAACAATAAAGTTAGTATAGCATCATAAACAAAAATTATCATATTTGAACTACATTTCAATTGTAAATAATTTTATTCTTAAAATCCAATAGTTTCATGAACATAATAAAAATATCCACACATGTTTGCCGTGAGTCAATATTAACATATCTACATAGTTATGAATATTAAACAATAAAATAGTTCAAAAACAATAATTTCTCGAAAACAATGATTATTTTGACCGTGTGTTTGTCAAAGATAAACAGTGAATTAAAAGAATTGACCCCCTTAACATTTATTTAATAAGGCAAAATAATCATTGATTTCAGATTAAAAAATATAAGAAAATCAAAATCACCTTCTATCGCTTATTATATGATTACATGCAGTTCTCGAATACAAAACCAAGTTGTTATCGTAAATTCTATATTGGAGGGACCTTCGTTCTATTTGGGAACCAATGACATTGGTAAAATCGAATTCGGTCATTTTTCTTATCAGGACTTTTGGGCCATTTTTTATGGTCGGAACTATGCCCAATCTGTCACCAAAATCATTAGTAGGGAGACAATGTAAAGTCATTCTACCACCACTTTGATTTTTTTGTTTCTTGTTACATCACGAAATAATTATTCTGTCAACTAAAAGTACTTTATTACTTTTTAAAATGCTTTTTAATATTGTTTAAAAGATAGGTTAAAACTGTTTGCTAAATATTGTGTGGGACAATTGTCTAAAAGAGGAGATTTCACTTGTTTAAGCAATCTTCTCTTTCTCCCACTAGTCTCACAATACTATTAAACCATTTTCCAAACATTTGGATAAGAATTTTTCGAGAAGATTTGTGTTAAAAATATTTGTCTTTGTGGAAAAGTTTAAGATTTCTGATTTTCTTTTCATAAAAACCGCAATAAGGCGTCTCAAAACCCGTCGACGAGTTTCTTGAAGAATTCTTTGCTACTATTGGTACCAAATCCAGGTAATGCACTATTATCCTGAAACCTTGGTAGCGAAATTTCTGTTTTTTGAAAAATCCGTGCAAAAAAAGTGAATAACTCTATTATTATGAATTGAAACTCGTTTTATAATAAGAGTCCACAATCATTATTTTTAGAGCTATACTTTATTCAGTATTACACAAATAAAATTAATTTAATAAAGAAAACTTATCGAGACACCCTGTATCAATTTTACAATAAGTAAATATTGCTTATGTACCTATGGTAAATAAATTTGATTTAAAATTGACCTAAAAACATTACATTTCAAGAAAAAAAATCAAAGTTGTGTTAAAATTGCCCCTATAATATTTTATCACGACAAAGGAACAAAAAGCAACGTTAGGAGAGTCAATTCCATTGTTTAAATTGCTGTAATTATCTAAACGTAATAGAATAATAACGTAGTTCAAACGAAATTCGCAATAAAAAACCTTGAACGCGAACTTTAAACATTTAAAATCATCAAACCATTTTATTTTTTACATGAAACTAGTTTTACACAAGCAATTAGTAAAATACATCACAAAATATCATGCAAATTACGCACTTCTGACATTTTTTCCTTGCGTCATTCTTTATAAAAAATATAGTTTTGAGTAATTCTAAATACATAAGGTACCTATATAAGATAAACATCATCATAATTAATAAAATGATTATTACCTAATCTTAGTTTGCTTAAGATGAAAGCATAACAAATTACGTATTTAAGCTATATAATTAAAATAAAAAAATAGTTAAGCAAATTATCCTAAAGTTAACAGGGTGTAACTTGGCCAGGAACAATTAGCATGCGATATTATGCCTAATAATTTTATGATGCAATAAAACACCCTGTATGGTTACAACAAACACTATCTATATTTATTTTGACCAAAAAAAAATATTACCCAAAACTTACTTCTTACAAATTTCAAAATACTAAGCCCTTTTGACTACGTTTAATATCAGATTTAAGCATTACATAAAACAGTACAGCACTAATAATAAAAATGTGGTCACTTACTTTGTGATTGTAGCGTACAAAATGTCGGCGGGCAGTGTATAGGGCAGGCTCAAAACGGATAGCAATTTCATGCCGCGATGTTTGAACATCCAGTTTATCAAACCCTTGTTTGCGGTATCAATCGCTTCTTGAAAAATGCTGAGCACCGTATCTGGCATATTTGAAACTAAGGCTTCCTGTAAAAAATATTATATTTGGCTTAGCAACAACGTTAGGAAATATGCATTAGCAATGTCCAATGATTTATTGATTGTTATTCGTGAGAATTTTATATATACATGGCTATTTTATTACAGCCATTCCACGTTACTCGGGAATTTTTGTAGCGTCCGTTACAATAAAAAATTGTGAGTAAAAGCTACCGTAATTAAATTAAATACTATTACAATAGTTACTCTTGCAAACATGTTTATTATGCTTGTAATAATTATGCTTAAGCATATAAGCATCTTAATTACGGTAGTTTTACTCACAATTTTTGATTGTAACGGACGCTACAAAATTTCCCGAGTAACGTAGAATGGCTGATTAGTTAATACACTGGCATTCATTAAATCGTAGACAGACGTGAAGTAAAAAATAAAATACTTTATTATTTTTATTTTTGTAAAAATATCAATATTTTCAAATTCATTTTATAGTGATGCCCCAAAAAATTTGTGACACCCTGTCCTACAAATAACAAAAACCATGCCACGGAATACAAGGAGTAATTTTAAGTATAAAAAAATAACAAAAACATATTTTAAGTTAGGTATAAGGTTTAAAAAGTTAATTTATTTTTCAAATTTTCTAAATTTTCAATTACCTATTTTAAATTGGGTAGGTAATTAAAAACTGCACATTAAAATTAATATTTCGGTTAATTGCCTGAATTTAAACAAAATTGGATAATTGAAAACTACCCTCACATTTAATTTAAATATGGGTTTGTTAAATTCTTCAAGGAAACTTAATATAATTAACATAGTAATGGTTGTTGATTAAAAAAAGACAAAACACGAATTTAATTAAATTATCTAAGCGAAATTTTAGTCACATGTTTTTTGTTGCTTTTTTGTCCATTTTAAGTTTAACAAAACGGTTTCACGTGATTTTTTGCAAAATGTTGGTTTATGGGCAGATAGATAATTTATTATACACTTAAAATAACTTTTCCTTTCGCGTGGTATATAATAAATGCACAGTAAGGATATAATATAATTTTATTGTGCCTTTTTCTATAAATACTATAAAAAATTACCTAAAATAATATATAAATAATTATAATTATTATATTTCCGCGTAGTTAATTAAATTAAAATATTATTTTTCAAACCAAATAAACAAAAAATATATTTAAGATTAAAATATAATCTAATAATTACTTTTTATTTAGAGTTGATAAGATTCATTAATTAGTTATTATACTTAATTAATTTGGTTTAATTAATCATTAAGAATAAAAAAATATTTACTTTATTATTAAATTATTGTTTTATGTACATTGTTTTTTCTCAGAAAATCTAAAAACCTTGAAACATTAAAATTTAAAAATATTAATAAAAAATAATTAATAAATTAAAACCGACGCAAAACTGCTTAAAATGATGCCATTAATTAATAATTTTATAAACAACATAATAATATTAATAGTTTTGCGTCAATTTAAATTATATAAGTGTTACATAATTATACATTAGGTACCTGTCTGTGAATTTTGCATTCTTTACACTGTGGATCGTATTCTAAATTATCTTCAACAGTGTCGGACACAACAAAAGTGGATTGTACTGCCAAACACCTCGTGCAATTAATAAGATTGTTTCTGTGCAAAAATCTTAGAGCGTCATCGAATCCTTGTTTGCACATATTGGACAAAACTTCGGGTTTGGGGGGAAATAGAATCCTTATGATCCTATACATGTTGTATTTTGATAGTTCTATGCTTGTGTTGGCTATGTTTATCTGAAAAGGAATTTTAAATATTGTAAATAAACAAATAAAATTAATTATTTACAACAATTGCATTTTTTTGTGATTAAAGATTATTGAGAAATCTGCTTTGTTGGAAAGTTTAACATTTGCAGATTTATGTCAATATTTATGTTAAATAATTAGATAAACACATTTATTTCCATTAATAAATTATAATCGTCATTTAAGTTTTTGTTAAAATCCTTAGTTTCATTCATTACGCAAAACCGAAACAATAGCAAATCAAATTACACTGTAGGTAAATTTTAAACTCTTGAAATATCACAGCTAAACGCTCGGACACGTAATAGTACATTCTGTAACAAGTTTGGAATACAGCATATTCCGCTCGAGGAAAAATTTGACACACGAGCCGAAGGCGAGTGTGACGGTTTTACGAGAGTGGAATATGCTATTCCAAACGTGTTTCAGACATTATTTTCTCTACGACTACGTAAGAATAGTAACGCTTATATAATTTTAAACAGAGAAAAGAAACCAAGCAGTTTTTGACATTTAAGTTTTTTGTATTGTCAAACCATTTTGGGCCGTCACAATTTTATAATGTAAATTATAATAAATTTAAACAAATGGTATGCCTTAATCTTTATTATAATTAAAAATAGTTATTTACACAACTAATTTTACAAGTAATCTATGTCAACATCTATTCTTTTTCTACATTTTAAAGGTCTTTTTTTAAACTTTTTGAATCTGTCAAAACTTCAAAGCCGGTATAGTAGGTAACTGGTTTATCATTTTAATATCAAATTTATTATAATTTTGATTTGTATATTTGAAAAACAATAAATATAACTAATTTTTTGTGCCTAAGCCTTAATTATACAACTGCTATTATTTTTTAATTAATAAATAATACAGTAATATTTAAATATTTTAAAAAATTTTACGTTTAGTAAACAGCCAGGAGATGTCGTTACTTGTGACCATTCTTAAACAAGAGTAGGAATATTCTCGCACAGTATTGCAGAAAAACATCCTTTCTATGATCAAAAATTATACTAGAATATTACTATTCTTCAGTAGTCGTAGAGAAACATAATTTTTGGTCGTAGATTCCAAATCCGTGCTCGGTTTAGCTGTCTAAAAAAGTTTGTTTCTATTGGCAATCCCATCCCACACTGTATACTGATATATACTATTATAATTTTTAAAATAATATATTTCACCTCTTGTGCCAACATTCCCATGCTTTTTATTATGTTTAATATAATATCCTCAACTATGCACAATAAAAAAAATCAACAAAAATACATTTTGAATTTCTATCTAAGAAAAATCCTCAGGTACACGTGTTCCTTTTGATCAATTTACTTCAAATTTTGAATAACTTCCTTTTTTTTAAATTTGTAACTGATGTGCGAGTCCAGCCAAATTAAATTTATATATATACAGGGTGTTTCCAATATCTTTGAATTTTGACCTGATACAGCTAAACCAAGCACGGATTTGTAATCTACGACCAAAAATTAAGTTTACGAGTCCGAGCGTTTAGCTGTGATATTTTCACCTCCCTACAGTGTTATTGATCTTAAAATGTAAATGTTATATAAAGTTATGTTTAACTGATGTATTTATAAAATATATAATAAGCTACATAATATATAATCATTAAACTATTCTACTTGTGCATAGGAGAGCATTTTTATTCATAGGCAGAGGCTGTCTAAGGCAGCATTTGCCCAGGGCGACAAATTATGAGCGTTCCAGTGCAAATTATCGTAAATGTCTGTTATGGTAAATGTGGCCGGAAAAAATACGATTCAAGGCCATTTTAGCAGTGTTAACTTCCAAAATGGCCTTAATGGTATGTCGAGGGCATCAAACCAGAGCCGTATACAGGAGACCATAAAAGCTTTTTACAGTTTCATGTTTATAAAAACGCGCAGAACCTTCAACCTTTTAACTTTAATAAGTGTATTTTAAAATACCGTTCTCGCCCTTTTCTAGCTGCTCACCCAGTGAGCATTTTCTAGCAATTATGTCAATTTTCACAGATGAGAAACGACGACTGCCGTGTGTTGAGTATATGCGTGGAAACCGAGTTTTTCCTAACGTAAAAATGCTCACGGTATACCGCGGTAGTGTGAAGAAATGGATGCATCGCTTTCTCAGTCTCATATCTCAAGAACTATATTTTTAGGTAAACTACGAATAAAGAACAAATTTTAAGGACCAAAATTCACGTTAAGCAATAGTTTACTAGATGATCGAGAAAAACTGATTTTCGCGTAAGTTTACATAAAGAACAATTTTTATAATACACAAAATAAACGTAAAATCAATAATTTACGAGATATCGAGAAAATTTATTTTCGTAACTTTTGACCTTTAAAACCGGCTGTAAATATATTAAAATAACAAAGAAAATTTATAGAAAGTGAGTGTTTGATAATATTATCTTAACAGCTGTTAATACTATATATGTCCAATATTCTTTAATTTCGTAATTTATAAAAACAAGAGGTCATGCCAAAAACTAAGATAATTTTTTGTTTCCCTATAATTACCTATATTTTAACAAATTTTAAAGAGTTATAACTTAATCAATAATTCAACATAATGTTGGATAATATTCAAAATTCTTGGGCAACTTTTTTTCATGCGTTTTTTTCGCCTAGAAAGGACGGTCACAGATCAGAGTTATGACGTCATTGTGGGAGGGGCTAATTGAGCATCTCAATACATCGTTGTCCCATATTTCCAGAGTGTTTTTATATTAACTTATTATTAGGTTTTTTAAGTTGCTCAGGGAGCTTGAGCACAACTCCGCTAGTAGCCAGGATTCCCGGCTCGGGTTCGATTCCTGGTACCGAACTATTTTTTAATTTTTTTTCTCTTTAAAAAATACTTCATTATAGAAAACGTATTTTTATTTTGAAATCAACTAATTATAATGTAGCACTGCTTTTTTAATTTTTTCTCTCTCTAAAAATATAATTATTTTAGACAAAATTTTCGATAATAAATAAATTTATATTTCATTACTTCCACACACTATATTTTGTTTAAATTAAGAATGTGGCAACAATGGACTTAGATGCTGCGATAAGTCCCTTCTCCCTTCATCAATGCGCATGTCTAAAAGCCGTATTACAGCCGGCAATTCTTCTTGCAGCAATTTTTCTTGCAGCAATTTTTCTTGCCATCTAGTTTTCAAGGCCGTCTTGCATGTTGTTTTACAGCCGGCAATGGCAAGAAAACTTGCTGTTTATTACCGTGCTACCAACCGAAGAAAAATATACGATTTTGTAAACACTAAGTTTATTTGTTATTTAGTGGAGATATTTAAAAATTAATGAGTGAAATGGATACTAGAACTTTGAACACAATGCCAATCATAAAACAAATAACCTTAAACTGTTTAAGTCAAACAGCGTCTCTCTAGGGAATTTGTAGTAGGGTTGGTAACATAAAAGTTACCAGATTTCACCCCAGAATTGCCGTAAAACGGCAATAAAAATCCATCCGGACCGATTTTCGGCAATTGCAAGAGATTCGTCGAAATGTCTCAACCGCGCATGCCTATGGCAATTTTCATTGCAATTGCCGAAAGAATTGCCGGCTGTAATACGGCCTTAAAGCTTGCGAACTTTCTTTGGCTGTCCTTCCCTAGACTTACGTTTATTTATTGTGTTTAAGTTAAAGCACCGAAAACTTTTCACCTCGCTACCACACCATATCTATCTATGTAGACATGAACAAAGTACTTTAAGAGATGTATAATAAAAAAAAAATTGCTTACATGGAAAAGTTGCGAACTATCGTCTCTTGGACAAATGTCGCTCTCTCCGCAAAACGGACTAACAGTTATGGTATTTTCGTCCAAAGTCGGTAGATTGTCGCTGCACCCTCCGTCCACGTATCTGACCCCCTTGAATTTCGGCGGAATAATTCCCGAAAAAAGCGGAATAAATGCGGAGGCCAACAGGGCCTGTATAAGCTCCTGTCTGGTGTCGAATTGCGAAACTATGACGTTCTTTCCGTCGTACCAGCGGGTAAGGGAGATGTGAAGTTTGCCGTTGACTCTGTGGTGAGCATCTTCGGGAAGGAACTTTTCCAGACAATCCAGAAGGATGTTGTGCACGTTGAAGGTCGGATGAAAGGGGCCGAGCGATTTTTTTCTTGCTTCTATTGCCACACTAAGAATGTTACTTGTAACATCACCTGGAAAAATAATATTTTTATGTATACTTTATAACAACTTAATAACAAGTAAAAAAAATAAGATAGATTTCAAGAAAACGGCTAATGATGGGATGTACGCTTAATAACTCCTTAATAACTCAAAAACTACTTGTCGGAGAATGTTTTTGTTAGGCATGTACCTATTTAATAGATACAATAACCATCCTGTGGTATGGCGTTATAACGGGCGCACTATACTGCGCCATTTTCGGACTGATAATCAGTGTCACAGCTAGGGGCTGGCCAGGCATGCGGGCCTCTGGGGCATAGGCACACAAAATTAAAACATAATGCTGACTCACATAAAAAAACATGATTACGAAAGGCGCTCCCACAGATTAGGAACAGCGCCCCTAACTTAATACACAAAGTTGTACCGAACCCTAAATAAAAAAATTAAAAAACATATCAAACAAAAAAAATTTTGTCACATTAACATTGGCGTTTTCCTACTCTCTGCCCGGCCGCTTTGGTTGTTAACACATTCACAGAAAGTCATCGCCGATTCGGAAGTAATGCAGTTGCCGTTACTGTCAAGTTTAAGTAATGAAATATTAATTTATATATAATAGAACAACATTTGTTGGTGTCACATTCTATTGAGTTGGTTTGACAATAAAAAATTGTTATGAGGAGTGAGTCTTTTTATGCTGAGCTTGAAGTCTGAAGCCGAATGGTATAGGTACACCATTTTGTCTTCAAGGCGCAGTTTTATTTGTTAAACGATACATTAAACGTAATTACAATTATAAGAACAGTTATTAAAAGTGTAAAGTAAGGTTATATAGCTTCAGAGCTGTTAACAGTTATCGATTTTTTTGTCTGGTTGTAACGGTTTTTTTATAGACTAGGATGTAAAACTGCAAATGATTTATCTAAAATATTTTTACAGCCCAAGAGATAATCGTATATTTTGGTAGTAAGCATTGACAATAATAATCTATAAAATAAGTCTTGGGGGCGCAAAAATTAAAATATTGCCAGGGGCCCTTGCTACGACGCTGAAAAAGAGCTGCCTTATTTGAATTGTTGTCCTATACAATAATTAACTGTCTTTTAAATTATTTAAATTAATATTTCCATAAAAACTTTCTTAAGAGTTTCAGCTTGTTAAACACAAAGCATTGACAAGTTTTTTGACCTTAAAAATTAGAGGTACATACATGGTCCATGTAACATGGAGCCTACTCAAGGAGTCCGACCTTAATCGGATAAATTGACAAAACCTGTCCACCAAAGTGCACAAATTGAGACTTGTTTTTTCACCACCAGCGGCGCTGATTGTCGATGTGTGCTAACACGTCTGCTGTTTTGGTAGCGTTTCGGCACAAATCAAACAATCAATCGAACATCAGCCCCCTCTTATCTTAGGAAGATTTTCGTATACATGAAGTTCGGACTTCTTGTGAAGGCTCCATGGGTACATGGATGGATTTAATTATAATAATAATAATCTTTAATAATGTTTATACAAACAGGTTTACGAGATTAGACCGTTAGACCCGCTCTAAAATATCATCAGTCAGTAATATGAAACAAATAGAAATGAACAAATAAATAATAAATAAAAATAAAACAATAAAGTCATTTTCAAGTGCTCTTGAAATGGTGTATTTTTAAATTCGATGCGGAATAATACACATCCAAAAACGGTTGCTATGGAAACAATCTAAATAACGCATCTGAGGTTGACAGATTGTATTTTCTGTTTGTTTCAAAAATCAAATCATCATAACTTTTTTATTATAAACAAATTTTAAGCTTTTATTTTTGAAACGCCTTTAAATATTTGTTTTATTTCCATTTTCGAAATAGTCTTAAAAGACTAAAATAACTTTAAAAGTACTAAACAAAAAGTATTGTAATTTTTTTAGTTTTTAAGTTGAACCAATAATTGTTAAAACTTGCAAATTTCGCATGTAATAAAAATAAAAATCGGTCAAAAATGGACCACCCTATACATAAACTAAGTAAAAATGGTTTGGCACATTATAATGTGCTAGTTACTTTTAATGAAAGAGTTTATTTACAACAAACAAATATATCGTTGAATTTTAAGAATTATACTTTTTTTATTTATGTTCATTTTGAACTTTATAGCTTATATATACACCTTGCTTTGTAATATTAAAACAATAAGATTGCCGTTCTCAAGCCTTTTCGAAATAAAGTGTTTTCAAGTTATTTAATTATACATAACTTATGAAACCTAAAAATGTGTTGTAGGTAGTATGTTTTATTTTTTTTACAAAATATAAAATGAATTCAAAGGATTTAGGAAAAAAGAAAGACCATTAAAAAACGCTGTCTACAGCCCCGATGCGGAACTTAAGTTTGATCCTGACGTTGTTACGATAAAACTAAAACAAACAAACCAACTAACCAACCCAACTCAACAATTTTCAACAAAGGTAGGTATTCATTTAATTACATAGGTATCAAAATGATGATGACTGGTAAATTATCTAAAATTTTAATGTAAAATTAAATATGTAGGTATGCTTCTTAATGCTACATTGTATTATTTCGTAATGCCAATTTATAAAATTATAGTAATAAAGTTGAGCAATTGTGTACCTATTTAAAAAAAAATTGAATTACAACCTATTATTTAAGATAAGAAAAAAAGAAAAACGGAAGTTGACATTTTTTTGTTAAATATGCAAAATCTAGTATACAAATTTGTAAATGTCATTTTTTTCTAGTTAAAAATCCCATTGTCTGCTTTTTTAATAAAATATAAAATACGGCTTTTAAAAAAGTTTTCTGTCCAAATACATACATACATACATCCCAGATAGCACAAGTACGTTCGTAGGACTTCCACCCAGGACAACCCGAACGTCCTCAGGATGTCCGGGGTCTGCAAAAGTACGTTCGTAGTACGTCCACAGACTTCCGAAATAGACTGTTTCAGATGTCCTCAGGACGTCCGTATTTGACCCCAAGCTGTCCAATTCGGGACATATGAGGACCGAATTAGGACATAGTTTTATTATAATAGGGAAATGTAATACAGTGTTAACAAGTGTTTTGTTAATATATATATATATATATGCAAAACGGCTAATACACATCCGAAATAGATACTTTTGTGAAGAAAGCGGCTCCGAAATCGGAGCCGCATTCGAAAAATCGGAGGCCAAATGGTAAGCACGTGTATCTCTTTATGGGTAGTCAAGGTCATTTTAGGACGTGTGGCAAATTTTAGCCTGGAGGTCAATTCCACTTGGATACACCTACAGTTACACAATCGGGTTCACCGTTCTTCCGATGAGGGCGCCACTGTTATATACAGATGTATATAAAAATAAGTATACCAGTTGATATACCTCAGAATATTTTCTAATCAACTAGTCTCCGAAATTTGGCAACAGTGTACGGAGGCCATTTAATGCCACGAGTATGTATTTCTGTAAATGTACTTTATTCAGAGAAATCTTATATTTTTAATACGTTAATGAAATAATGATATAGGAATATGGTATAACTGGACTCCTGAATAAAGGTATTATTAAGAATAATAGACGTATCTATGGGTATACAAATACAAAGTGTAAGTCATAGAAAAAGTGTTAGTGTGGTCATCAATGTAATGTAGACATGAATTAAATATTTAATAACAGATGGTAAAAAGTAATCTACTAATTGCAGGTTAATTATAATTTTGTTTTTCAGGCTTAGCGCGGTTGATTAGCACTGTCGTTTTTAGGAAAATAATATAAATAGTATTTTAAAAGAAAGAATTGAACCTTCACCTCGCCAGACTTTTCATTTTGAGTGCGTTCCACTTTTGAATAATACCAGTGGATTTAAAGAAACTAAGAAAATTGAATGTTTAGTTAATTTTAACATTAGTAATTATAGTTATATAGTTTATTATAAGGCATTAAAATGAATACCTGTAGAAATATTTTATTATAAAATTTTTATAATAAACGGTTTATTAGATACTAAGAAATTTTAGCAGATTTGGTGTTCATAAACACTATACAGAAGTTTTAAAAATATAGGTTAGGTATTTATAATAATAAATTAAACTGAATTTGACAAAACATTAAGTGTATATATAAAATAAATAAAAATTATACTAAACTATTATTTTTTTTAATAAATAAAACATAGATAAATAATGACTGCGTTTATTTATAAAATAATTATTAAAAATTATAATTAAAAAACACATTTATAAAAAAAAGACTAATACTAAAATTAAAGAGCAGCTAGGTAAAAATAGTACCCATTGATAATGAGATAATGCCGCGTCTGTACTAACAAAACAAAATTATAAAAAAATACATATTTTTTTAATATGGATTCTATAAAATGTCTTTATTAGGCTCCGCAAAATTAAGCTTAGAATTTATTTTTAAAGCGATTACAATTTCCAATCCCTGCTGAAAATGACGGACGATTGCGGGTTTCTTCGTCAAAACCGGATAAAATCAGATGATTGCGGGTATAAATTCTTCGTCGAAGCCGGATAAAAGCGGGTAAAAATATCATCTAATAACATCTGCTTTTGTCCGCATCGCTATATCCGCGAACACCCGGTTGGTTGTGTTTTATGTCCGGTTAGTGCACCTCCGCAATCATCTGTTTTTAACCGTCTTCACTGTGTTTCGATTATATCTGAATTTGTCCGGAATCATCTGCAAACGTCTGCTTACGTCTGGGTTTATCCACGAGCATATGCTTTTACCCGCAAACGTCTGCCTAGTCCAATTTCACCCGCCAACATATGCGAACATCTGCAATTACCCGCGAACAACTGTTTTTATCCGCGAACATCTGCAATCACCCGCGAACATCTGCAATCACCCGCGAACATCTGCAATCACCCGCGAACAACTGCTTTTATCCGCGAACATCTGCAATCACATGCGAACATCTGCTTTTACCCGCGAACGTCTCCTTTCATACGGTTTCACCCGCAAACATGCTTTTATCTGCGAACGCCTGATATTATCCGCAAACAT